AAATTTTCAAAGTACCAACATGGAAGGTGATAATTCTGAACTGAGCTCAATGGCAGAGCTGATATCTTACCACATTGATCCCTCCAGCGTTGCTCTTGGAACATATTGTTCCCACGTAGGCCATTCCTGCTACATCACCAAACCCTTTTGTCCTAAATTAAATAAGGACAAAAAAAAACAAACCCATTATAGAGGCCTAATTAGTCCGAAGCAAATGATGTTGACCTTTCTTTTTAAATTACAAAGATTATGGCAAACAATTAGAGGTAGTTAACATCACTTCTGGTGTTTGGATATTAGCCAGAAATAGAATTATGTTCTCACTATGAAGAAACAAGTTTTTCCCTTCCTTTTGAGCATGAAAATACTAAATAGGAAAGCCCCAGAAACGAACTGCAGGTAGACAAGTTTAAAAGATCCACAAAGTCTACAGCCACATTGCAGAAATAATCCAGGTTGACACCACTTTAACAGCCCTGGCTCAATGCTATGGAATTCTGGGATTTGTAGTTTGGTGTGGCACCAGAGCTCTCTGACAGAGAAGGCTAAATATCTCACAAAACTACAGTTCCCAGAATTCCTTAGAATTGAGGCATGGCAGTTAAAAGTGGTGTCAAACTGGATTATTTCTGCAGTGCGGATGCAGCCAAAGTGAGTTTTAAAATAGTATCTAAAAATCACAAGACAATACATTTATACAAGATTTTGAGTAGGGCCAAATCTCTAAAACAATCTGAAGTTTTAACACATAATGCTAAACAGTTCCACTGAAGAATCTGAATCATAACCTCAGGGAGTCATCAGCTGAATCAGTGCATTTAAAATACATATTAAAAATATGTAAGTCTCTGTAAAAATCTTACAGTATAAGCTGTGCGCTGTCGTGCCTCCTGCGTGGAACAAGTTCCCGCTCTCGCCACTGTACAAAGTTAGCAAGGACATCCGCTGCGCCTCCTTCGATGCTGATTTTATTTTCGAAATTCCAGATCTCCAAGCCAACCAACACAATGCGGATGTTCAGTGTAGCATACATCTGAAAAGGCAGGGAGAAGTTGGGAGTGCAGGACAGATTGCAAAAATTGTTGGGAAATACTGCTCCAATCGAGCATTCCCTTCAAATGCTCTCCCCCATTTGCTATTAATTTGTTAATGATTTGTTAATCTGATTGCCCATGTTATTTTGTTGTTTAATTTATTTAATATTGTATTTTAATTGGTTTGATGTTTAATTCTGTTTTAAGGGGATGGGAGGGTGGGACTATGGGTTGAGGGAATGTTCTTTTTTAACATTGTTGTACCCCACCCCGATTGCCGCACAGAGGGGCGGGCTATAAATAAAAATTTATTATTACTATTATTATTATTATTATTATTATTATTATTATTATTATTATTATTATTATTACAACACAAGGCTGATCGAGGGAGATAGGAAAGGATGGCTCAGTCATTCACTCAATTGTTCAGGGAGAAAGCAGGAGATGGAGGGGATAACCCAATGTACCCCTTCACCATTGATCTCATGGCTGAATTTTCCATAAATAAAATATAAATGAAATAATGGCTGGATGGCCATCTGTCAAGGGTGCGTTGATTGTGTATTCCTGCATGTCAGAGGGGTTGGACTTAATTGCCCTTGGGGGTCTCTTCCAACTCTACAATTCTATGGTTCCAATATTAATTTTTTTCTGTCTTGTGTGTGTGTGTGTGTGTGTACATTTGAAATTCCCTCCACTGCTGCATCATTCACTGGGACACAAAAGGGGAAAGGGGATTGGATGCAGGAGGGATATAATAAAAGTGGACCCAAAAGATTGACAGGTAGACAATAATGGCTATTGGTTGATAGGTTGATGCATGCTAAGAAAGGGGGAAGCACACAGTGGTGTGGTTGAAAATAATGCGAAGGAACAGAGATGTGGATCACCTCCTTACATCGAGTTTGCGGGGGGGAATGTGTGACCAGTTATGCTCATGTCACCTTGATGTGTGTGTGTGTGTGTTTGGTGTTAACACAGTCACTGCAGGGTTGTTGCGGGATCACTACGGACCAGGAAAATGCAAGGTGAGGCTTGATTCCTTTTGCGTCAGTGTAGATAAGCCCGTCATCTGAAGGCGGTCATGTCATGTGCTATGATTTATGATAGTTCAGAATATGCACCATCTCCAATAAACAGGGAAGGAGTTGTTAGACACAAATGTCTGCTCTTCTTTTATCTTCTTTGCACATACCATATCCAGGAAGTTGGCCAAATGCACCATCTCTTCCGTCACGGCCGTTTTGTTCTGCCCTAGCAGCATGTACTGCAAGAAAAGGGACATTTTAGAGATGCAAGGAAAATGGTTTCTTTAAAAAAAACAAAAACAAAAGCCAAATGTTGCCACCGATCGCAGAATTGTAAAAGCAGATGAAAACCAACAGGACTAATGACCCACACTGGCTATCTGTTGACATTGCCACCTGCGATGTTTGGATGAGGATGAAGGTGTTTGTGTAGGGATGGAAAGGGGCAGCGAGGCAAAGCAAACAGATGATAGACGGACAGAAGAAGGTATGCCTTTACCACAGTGAGATTCCAGCCCAACTCCTAAAGTCTGTAGTTTATGTGAAGTCGAAAGCTTTCACGACCATCATCCATAGGTTTTTGTGGTTTCTTCGGGCTGTGAGACCGTGTTCTAGAAGAATGTATTCCTTATGTTTCGCCTGCATTTGTGGCTGGCATCTTCAGAGAAATTAACATCAAACTCTTAAAGAAAAACAGAAGATGCCAGCCACAGATGCAGGTGAAACATCAGGAATACATTCTTCTAGAATATGGCCTCACAGCCCGAAAAACCCACAAAAACCTCTGTAGTTTATATTCATCAATAACTAGTGAACTGGACATAACAGTGTGATAAATTTATTTATGTTCTAAATCAGTGCTTCCCAGGTTATGTGATGTGTGGGACCAGCAATTATTATTTTCCAGTGTGTCAAGGACTGGCACTAAATTTGTGCCCATTGGGTACAACTGTTTCTTTCTTTCCAAGGGTGCATCTTCACTGAAGAAGTAATGCAGTTTGACACCACTATAACTGCTATGGCTTCATCCTACAGAATCCTGGGATCTGTGGTTTTGTGATGCACCAGCCCTCTCTGGAAGAGAAAGCTTGTAAAACTTCAAAACCCAGGGTTCCATAGTATGGAGCGACAGCGCTTTAAGTGGTGTCAAACTGCATTATTTCTACAGTGTAGATGCACCCCTGGGTACTTGACTGGCAGCAATGGAGCCTACTACTTTCAGTAGGACTATTGATGACCAATCTGTGCATATGAATGGGTATTGGATTTTATTATATGGATTGTGGGGTTTTTTTTATTATTGTTATGATTTTATATATTGTATTTTATATATTGTATTTTTCTATATTTCTCTGTAATCCCGCCTCAATCCACAGGGAGAGGCGGGAAAATACAAATAAAAACTATTATTATTATTATTATTATTATTATTATTATTATTATTATTAGACCACCAATTGCCAATATGGTTCCCTTTGTGTGTTTTAAACCCCAATCTCAGCCCGGTTGGGGATGATGTGGGTGGTGAGCCAACATTTCTGTAGGGTACCAGGTTAGAAAAAAGTCCAAAAGTCAGGTATTCATACCCTTTCTTTATCCACAACTATGAAGAGCTCCACATATCTTGTCTGTAGAAGGACACCTCTTTTTCTCTGCAAGGAAGACCAGCAAGAAAAGTTAACAACAAAATAAATCTTCCTCCTTAATTCCTAAATTCAAAACAGGGTGATGTCATTCTAATCCACATTCCTATTGTCTACTCATGTTGAATTTTACTATTGGGATTCACACCCAAAAAGGAGAGAAAACATTTCTAACAAAAGCCAACAGTTGTTTTTCTTCTTCTTGCAGGCAAGATCAAAATTTTTGGCCATAACACTCTCAAATCTGACCAAACATAACAAGAATCCAAAGTAAGAGCAGAAGGGAACAAAGTGAAAAACAGTTAAAGGTATTTCTTTTCATTTATGTACTTTATTTATGATATTTACAACCCCACCTTTCAAGTTTATATACAGTTCCCAAGACAGTGTTAAGCAAATAGTGTCTAGTTATGACATTTTGTCGCTCTGCTTGCCAAAACTGTTGCTAGAATTTTAACATCAACATTTAATAAAAAGCTGGATTTGCACTTTTCAGACTAAATGATCTTTAACTGAGTTAAGAAAAACGGTGTTGGAAGCTTTGTAGATGGAGGCTGAAAATGAGACTGACTTTTTAAAAAATAAAGGTAGACCAAAAAAGGCTACTAGGTTCTATTTTTTTATTAAATAAATGAAGAGATGTTTCTAGCTCTCATGGGCAGTAACTATGATTTCTTCTATTCCATCTCCCGCTTCTCCAAGCCTTCCAAATTCTTTGAACAACGGATCTTGTAATAAGAATTCTATTTTATTCTTTTTGGATTTAAATTTAAAAAAAAAACCCAAAACAATAATCATTCCAAAAGCAGGGGCGGGCAAATGGTTGTCAGTGGGTCACAAGCAATTCTAGATCTCATTTTTAGGTTCCCCCAAAGCCTAATCCTAACCAATTCTTTTAAAACTCCCCAAACATGTGAAAACACATGTAAACACCCCAACTCAACCCATCCAACACCCCAAAACCAGGTACTACCCCAAATATCTCCATTTTCCTTTGCAGTGCCTCTCAAAATGGTGACATGAAGTGATATGACATTATATTCTGTCACCATTTTGAGAGGGACTGCAGAGAAAGGCATTACTGTGTTTGCTCTGGGGATAGTTTGGGGAAAATTGGTCCTTGGCTTTTACACAGTTGCCCATCCCTTTCCCAAAAGGAGAGGGTGAAACATGCAAAATTAGCCCAGGAAAGACTCAGGATGCATCTACACTGTAGAAATAATGCAGTTTGACACCACTTTAACTGCCTTGGCTCCATCCTACAGAAACCTAGGATTTGCAGTTTTGCGAGAGCCAGTGTGGCATAGCGGTTTGAGTACTGGACTGTGACTCTGGAGATTGGGGTTCAATTCTCCGCATGGCCATGAGATCCATTGGATGACCTTAGGCAAGTCACACACTCTCAGCCTCAGGCAATGGCAAACCTCCTCTGAACAAATCTTGCCAAGAAAACCCCATGATTTTTGGCAACAAATCTTGCCAAGAAAACCCCTTAAGGTCGCCATGAGTCGGAACAACTTGAAGGCATACAACAACAACAAGGCACCAACATTCTTTGGCAGAGAAGGCCAAAGATCTTGTCAAACTACAAATCTCAGGATTCCATAGGATGGAGATTCAGCACTTTACACGGTGTCAAAGTGCATTATTTCAACAATATAGATGCACCCACAGTTGTCATGAAACACTGACTGGTTGCTCCAAATGGGCAGCAACTGGAAGGGAGAGGAATGGAACAGAGCAACTGGAACCCAGAATATTTTGTTACGGGCGTCACTGGTAAAACCCTAACCCTGAATTGCAAAAGGGCATACTCACCCTTACTAGGTGATCCGCCCCATCGACAGGATGAGGAGGGCAACCTGAGCTAGGGCATTTTGTGCCCGAACCAGCAACCGGACAGGACTGGACACTTCTTTTCACTCTATTCATTCGGTAGACAATGTGGTTGTTGTTATCAATGGGCTCAACTCCGTATGTGATGTTCTCGATTTGTATCAGACCCCTGCCAACAACATCAACATCATTATTGCCAGGGTTTTTTGGGGGGAGGGAAGCAGGGAAGGTAATGGATGACACTATATAAATGGATGATGATGATGATGATGATGATGATGATGATGATGATGATACAGTAGACCATTGGTATCTGCTGGGGTTCGCTTCCACCAAAGTCTATGGATGCTCGAGTCCCATTCAATCCAATGGCATAGTGAAATGGTGTCCCTTACATAAAATGGCAAAAACAAGGTTCGCTTTTGGCATTTATATATTTTTTGGATATTTCCAAGCCATGGATGCTTGAATCTGAGGATGAAACATCCATGGATACCAAGGGATGATGATGATGATGATGATGATGATGATGATGATGATGATGATAGAAAGAAGACAAGGAAATAATAATAATAATAATAATAATAATAATAATAATAATAATAATAATAAAAAATAGAAAAAAGGGGAAGAAGCCTAAGCTAAGTTCATGGAACACAAGGATAAAAGACGGAGTGAATGTGTGTGTGTGTGGAAAGAATTGTGCATGACATCCGAATGTTCATTATAAAACAGGCTACAGAAATAATTGAATAATTATTTAGGCAGCCAAAAGGGAAGGATTTCCAGCTCTGTGGGTCATTCTTTTCAGTGGGTGAAAAGGAATATTCCCTACTTATTTAAAATGAGGTGGGCTGAAGGTAGATCTGGATCTATGGAAACATCTTTGGGTGCTTCCGCATTGTAGAAATAATGCAGTTGGACATCACTTTAACTGCCACGGCTCCGTCCTGCGGAAACCTGGGATATGTAGTTTTGGGAGGCACCAGACATCTCTGGCAGGAAAGGATAAAGACTTTGTAACACTAAAAATCCCAGGACTCCATAGGATGGCGCTAAAGTGGTGTCAAACTGCGCTATTTCTACATTATGGATGCACCCTTTAAATGATTTACAGCAACAAAATACCCCCCTTTCCTTCAGGCAACCAACAGAGTTTGGAAGCATCACATCTTTGGACTGCAAGTACCAAAATCCCCTAGCCAGCATGGATCCTGGCAGCTGTAGCCCCAAAAAAGTAATTAGAAAAGTAGAATAATTTTATAGTAGGGTTCAGAGTGGTATAGTAGTTTGAGTGTTGGACTAGGACTCTGGAGACCAGGGTTTGAATCCCAGCTCAGCCACTGGGTGACCTTAGGCAAGTCACTTATTCTCAGCCTCAGAGGATGGCAATAGCAACCCTCCTCTGAGCAAATCTTGCCAAGAAACCCCCATGATAGGTCCTGCCTTAGGGTTGCCATATTGAAGGCACACAGCAACAATTGTGTAGTGTGGAAGGGGCCTCTAGCAAAAACACAAAGCAGATCTTGAAGTGTGCCCACTTCCAAAGAGAAAAGAGAAAGGAAAAGCCACTCTTATTGCCCCACATCAACCCATCCCCTGCCTTAATTTTTAGGGCAAACAGCAGCCAATGTAGAAAAAGAGGTTGCTACATAGGGCAGGCTGTTATGGGGCAAAGGGGGGGCAGTTTTATTCCTTGCTATAATAATAATAATAATAATAATAATAATAATAATAATAATGTTTATTTATTAAAATTTATATAATAAATTTTATTTATTATTTATTTATATCCCCCCCCCCAACAAAGAAAAGACATTAACATATCCATTACCTGAGTCCAAAGCAAAGACTGACACCAACCATGGAGTCTACTATTCCTTCTATGTGTCCATAATAGTGGCAATGATCCTACAAGAGGAGATATTGGAAAGGACTGAAACACTTCTGTTGCTAAAGATCAGGGCATCAATACTACTCAGATCGCCCAAATTAAGATGCAAGATGGCATGTTAGCAGCACGTTCTTAAAATAGGATTACTCAGGTATGGGCACCAAATGCTATTCTTAATTCAAGTGATTGCAACTTTCTCCAAGGATATGCTTCGTGCCTCTGACTTATTCGGTACTAAACTGTGTCCAAGGCAGAGTCGTGTGTGTTACTAAGGTTGCTGCTACACTGCAGAATTGATGCAGTTTGACACCGTTTTCTCCATCATGGCTCCATCCTATGGAATCCTGGGATTTGTAGTTAGTTGTTACTGCTTTAATTGTCATGACCCCATCTTATGGGATCCTAGGATTTATAGTTTTTGTGGCAACTGGGCTCTCTGCTAGAGAAGGCTAAATACCTCACAAGTCTACAAATCCCAGAATTCCATAGCATTGAGCCATGGCAGTTAAAGTGGTGTCAAATTGGATTAATTATGCAGTGTAGATGCAGCCTAAGATCTCTCTCTCTCACTCTGTTTCTCTGTTGTTCTTGATATATATATATATATATATATACACACACACACACACACACACACACACACACACACATACACAGATAGATATACATATATTAATTATTCTTTCTGTGACATTTATGAATACTGGTAAGCTGGAGAGGAATTGAAAAAAATAATTGAATGCACAACAATGATGACACAGGATTTTCATTTGCATTCTAGATTCCAAAACAATCTAACTTTACAGATACCAACAAAACATTGTGATAAGTCATACAGTATTCTAGGCAAAAAATGAACACCCTCATAATCCAGCTTTTCATGCAAGTCCACATGAAGCACTTTCTCACCAAAAGTATGATTTGACTGTCCGACAGTTCCCTACAGTAGTAATTTCTGGCATTCCTTTGGAAACAAATTCATTTTACAGACGCTTTCTAAGACATTTGTTTTTAAATGCAAAGAAGCACCATTTTTCTTCTGATTTGTATGGTGGACTCTTGGTATCTGCTGGGGTCTTGTTCCAGATTTTGGAGTTAATTTCCAGTAAGGCATGCATGCAGAAGTAGCTAGTTTGTTCCAGGACCCCCCTTTGTTCAAGTCCCATTAAATACAATGGAGAGTAAAATGGTGACCCTTATACAAAATGGAAAAATCAAGGTTTGCTTTTCAGAATGTATACATATATTTGAATATTTTCAAGCCATGGAGGCTTGAATCCATGGATAAAGGATCCGTGAATACGGAGGGTTGACTTCTGCTTAGTTGCCTGGAGGAGGTTCCTAATCTCTATAGGTGAATGGAATATTTTAAGCCTATTTAATCCCCTTTGGTCACTACTCAAATGAAGGGGAAGAGACTGAGATTCCAGGACTGCTGACTCTAGATAACCCTGAAAATTAATTATTCTTTCTTTGTCTTCACAGAGGCCACAGCAAGATGTTCCTGTCCCTGGGCAAGCTGCCAAAGAGATCTGCCTCCGTGGAACTGCTTTCGGAGTTAATTTCCAGTAAGGCATGCATGCAGAAGTAGCTAGTTTTAGGTACAAAGTGGAACAAAGACAAAGAAGTAGGGCAGTTATGAGATTCCAGCCAGCCCTTGAAATACTGGCACACATAACCCCTTCATTAATCTCTGGAACATCCATTCCCACAAGAAGTACTGATAATTAGAATTTTAAATAATTATTACACATGGATTATGTCACTCCCGGAGCCAGTGAGGGGTAGTGGTCTGAGCGTTGGACTATGACTCTGGAGACCAGGGTTCGAATCCCTGCTTCGCCATGGAAACTCACTGGGCAACCTGGGAAGAGTCAGATTCTTTCAGCTTCAGAGGAAGGAGAGACAAAAAAAGAATTCCCTCTGAACAAATCTTGCCAAGAAAACCCATGAAAGGTTTCCCTTAGGGTCGCCATAAGTCAAAAACGAAGGCACACCACAACAACACAACATGCCATTTTCTGTTCAAAAAGGGCAGGCTGCTGGTGTCTTTCTAGCTGTTTTGTGAGACTGTAAGTCCCATCAGCTCTAGCCATCACAGTCAATGGCAAGGAATCATGGGTGCTGCAGACTAAACACATGGAAATGGCCAAATGTTGTCCATCCCTGATGCAGGAGGAGAAACCAAGCAGTGGCTGCTAATAATAATAATAATAATAATAATAATAATAATAATAATAATAATAATAATAATAATAATAACAATAATAATAACAACAACAATCCCTCTGAACAAATCTTTCCAAGAAAACCCATGAAAGGTTCCCCTTAGGGTCCCCACAAGTCGGAATTATTGTTGTTGTTGTTGTTGTTGTTGTTATTATTATTATTATTATTATTATTATTATTATTATTATTATTATTATTTCTTACCCGCCTTTCCCCATGGATCAAGGTGAGGAACAACAACAATTAACAGACACACCACATCCGTTGAAACACACCAATTAAAATACACATCAGTTTATAAGGGCATGCATGCCATTTAAAAGGACAGGATATGCACATGTTTTAAAAAATATTTTAAATATTTTAAATATTTTAAAAAATATTTTCATCTGGGTAAGGCTGTCAGAAGAGACCGGTCTTTAATGCTGCTTTGAATTCAGATGGCATCTCTTTTCCGCCAGTCGTTCTACTTTCTGATGAGGGCCAACTAGATCCATTAACATTAGAAGAGAAGGAGCTATGACTTTGGTGTCCTACTTAGGAGTTTCTGGAAGCATCAGGTTGGCCACCATGATGCAAAAGGAGAAGCCGTTCAGTGGCTACTACTTGCCAATGAGGACCAACTAAAACCATTCACTTCAGAGGGGAAGGAGCTATGACTTTGGTGGCTTATATATGAGTTAATGGAAGCATCAGGTTGGCCACCATGATGCAAAGGGAGAAGCCATTCAGTGCACGCTACTTGCTAATGAGAACCAACTAAAACCATTAACTTTAGAGGGGAAGGAGCTACGACTTTGGTGTCCTACTTAGGAGTTTCTGGATGCATCAGGTTGGTCACCATGACACAAAAGGAGAAGCCATGCAGTGGACACTACTTGCCAATGAGGGTCAACTAAAACCATTAACTTTAGAGGGGAAGGAGCTACAGCTTTGGTGGCCTACTTAGGAGTTTCTGGAACAGTCAGGTTGGCCACCGTGATGCAAAAGGAGAAGCCGTTGTGGTCTACTTATGAGTTTCTGGAAGCGATAGGTTGGCCACCATGAAATGCAAAATGCTGTCCTTTAGGTCAATTCAAACAGGGTTCTCCTTCTGTCACGGCACACAACTCTTAGCAAAAGATCTCCCACAAAGCAACCATCTGACAGAAAGGGCAAAGCCTTTGGCACTATAGAAGAATAAGTGTCGATGAGCTCATTTGGCAACAGAGGCACAGAGTTTGCTAATTCCAAATCAAAAAGCAATGAAAGCTGACTTCTATCTTCATAACCACCGTAAACACTGATAAGAGGCTGGGGAAAAAATTACAGCTTCAAAACATTGCAGTTGATATGGAACTGTAAGAGTTGCAAACCAATAATAAATAGTAACTATAGTAGCCCAAGCTGCAGAGATAAAGCATACAGAATGCAGAGAATCACAAACTCCGGAGAATAATTATCTGGGAAATGAAACAAGGATGTAAAACACTCAAGGTTATAGCTGTTGGGAGGCAAAATAACTGGCCCCCAAAATGAATTGTGACCTGCCCATGAATTTTTCATACAGTCTAGAATTTTCTAACATCGCAGTCCAGACTGAGTATCTCTTATCCGAAATGCTTGGGACCAGAAGTCTTTTGGATTTTGGAATATTTACATACACATCATGAAATACCTTGGAGATGGGACCCAAGTCTAAACATGAAATTCATTTATGTTTCATATACACATAGCCTGAAGGTTATTTTATACACAATACTTTTTAATAATCTGGGGCATGAAACAAAGTTTGTATACACTGAGTCATCCGAAAGCAAATCTGTGTGGACAATTTTGGAATATTTCGGATTTCGGAATTCCAGATAAGGGAGACTCAACCTGAATATAATTTTTTTTAGCCACATCTGTTTTAACCTTTGTAAACTCCCTTAAGCTCTGGACTTGGAAAAAGGCAGGATATCATTACATATATACATACACACATACATACATACATAAATCTTACCTGAAGTTTTGGTGTTTCTGTTTGCCTCCTTCCATCCTTCTTGTAGGTATACAGTTTAAAGTCTTTGGGCAACAATTCTCTGAAAGGATTGTAGGAAACAGGGGGAGGGACATTAGAAAATACTTTTATAATTGAAAACTTATCCAAGGGTAGCAGTGTTGATCATGTAGCAAAGTAAAATAACATCCCAAATCCACAAAACAGTGATACCTTTATTGGACGACCAAAAGGCAAAATGCAGGCTTCGGACTAACATCATCATAATTTTCCCCCTCCTTTTTGATTTTTTAACATCTTTGCCTGATAAAGAAGCCAGCAGAGCTTCGAAAGCTTGCAACATGTATTCTCTGCATTTTGGTTGACCCAGTGAAGGTATCACTGTTTTCTGGATTTTTATATTTGAGTAAAAAAAAACAACAAATAGATCTGGCCCAAAGAAATGAAACGCAAACAGAGAGAACTGAGCTGCAAAATATGGAAGGAAGAGAAAGGAAGCAAGACTCTAAATCAGGGGTAGGCAACCTTTCCCCTTTAAGGGCTGAGGGACTTCAGCTCCCAGAAGCCTCAGCCATGTTGGCCAATAGCTCCTGGGATTCTGGGAGCTGAAGTCCCATGGCCCTTAAAGGGGAAAGGTTGCCTACCCCTGCTCTAAATGCTCAATATTAAAACCTACCTCAACAATTTTCCCTAACCCTTGTCTGCCCCCAATAGCAGTTATAGGAAATTTTACAGCACCATTTCTACAGAAATGGCCCCGAAGAATAGGAAAAAGCAAAGCTTTGGGAAGCGGCAGTAAGAGGACTGTGTCAACAGGAGTATCAAGGTGTTTTGTCATTTGCAAATATACGCATGATTCCTTTGTTGTAACCTGTTTGAAAAGCAGACGCCGTAACCTATCTGAAAATCAGATTTGAAAATTCATTTCTTGTAAACTGTTTGAAAACCGCACGCATCGGAGAGCAGCTGATGCATATCCACATCCTCCTGGCAAAGTTGTTTCCTCCAGCAATGTTATTGCGACGGCGAACCAAAAGTGCTTTGCTGGTGTTTTCGAGGGAAGCGGAGAGGATGAGAGGAAAAATCAAACCAAACCTCATTCGATTGTTTTCTTGGTTGGCTCTTGTGTAACCCATACACTAAGCACTTCTGGGGTCACCAAACACACCAATTGCAGGGGAAGGAAATTAGCAGAGCAACGCAACGCAACGCACAAGCCACTTACCCATTTTTTGTTAGTACAAGAATGTGGTCCTTTCCTTCGATAGTAATCCGGTATGTAATCTTGTCCTTAAAAGAAGAAGAGAGGGAAATATATATACATATAATATATATGTGTGCATATATGTATATATACCAAACGTCTCCAGTATCACCCACAAACGGTTCTCAAGTTTGCTCAGTTGTTTTCCTCCCACCATAATAAATATGAATCCAGGAGAGATAATTTGGGATTTGAATTACTAGGCTCAAATAGATGTCCCCTGAAAGGGGAGGCCAGGCATCAGAGATGTGGCGATTCAAAGCAGAGCCTTTTCGATGGTGGCACCTAGAAAACTTGTCTGTCTGACATGAAAACATGCCTAGCTTCCTCTCTCCTTCCTCCCCGGCACCAATTTTCTTGAAGAGCTATTCTGGAAAACTGTAATTTCAGATTTATTTTCCCTTGCTGCATACTTTGGTTTTCAAAAACCTGCTACAGTGGTTTTAATGGCTGTTTATTATTATTATTATTATTATTATTATTATTATTATTATTATTATTATGAGCAATAGCTATTTTGATGAACCATTGTGGTGTAGTGGTTTGTGCATTGAGTCTGGAGAGCAGGGTTCAAATCCCAGCTTGGGCATGAAAACCCACTGGGTGGCCTTGGGGGAGTCACACTCTCTCAGCCTCAGAGGATGGGAATGGCAAATCCCATCTGAAGAAACTTGCCAAGAAAACTTCCACAATAGGTTCTCCTTAGGGTCTCCGTAAAACACAAATGACTTGAAGGCACAAAACAGCAGCAACAACTATTTTGAAGGGGCAATCATGATGTCTAGGGAGTCTGAGTTATAGTGCAGAAAACTAACAATCCCAAGGAGTGACCATAAACACCATAAACACCTAATCTGAAAAATAAACACACAGCGGGTTTTTCATGTGAAGTAAGAGCCCTGCTTTGCCATTTGCCTAAAGACAGCCATCCTCTCGAGTCAAAATAAATTTTCCCTATTCCAAGGTTTAATTTATTATATTAATTAAAATTTACTAACATTTTTGTGAAAGGACAGCAAAGGGGAAAGTTGTTTCTGAGATATCTTCTCCCTTGAGTGTCCAAATAAATTGACTTCTCCGCTTCCCAGACAATAAAAATGCAACAATGGTTTCTAAAAATATCAATACTCCCTGTTGTTGTTGTTAACTGCCTTTGAGTCAACATAAACACAAGACACTGCAGAAGGCTGCATCTGCACTGCAGAAATGATGCAGTCTTACACCACTTTAACTGCCATGGCTCCATCCTATGAACTTGAGATCAAACAAAGCTTTGGAATGGGATAAATTGTTTTGAATTGACAGGATATACATATTTTTTATGTAAGTGGCAATGCTGGGCTTCGACTCCAGGCAAAGAGCCTATTA